CGCGTCGATTTCAGAAGATATAAGAGCTAGAGACTTCAATTTTTTTTTTAAATGTACGTATATATAGCGCGCATATAGAGTCTATTACTAAAAATCGGTAACTCAACCCGTTATTTTTTTTTATTATATTCCTACATCTTTAAACATCTTTAAAGTCTCTACATTTAAAATATATATTAAGATGCATTTTACAGAGTTTAGGTTTCTGCTAAAATTTACCCCCACCCCTATATTCACCCCCTCACCTTCATATTTGTAAAAAGCCTATTTCAAATACTAGAGACTTGTGTTTTGGAATGCAAATACATTTAAAAATTACGTTCTGAAAGTTTCATAGAGATTGTATGTCTAGAAATTAACTTATTCAACAAATAAACTCTCATAATATTGCTTGCACAGTAACGCAGTCCAAGCGCAGTCGCCTGTGTCAGGAGATCTCGGTAATCGAGCAGTCTCGACTATATTTGTGTGTGTGTGTTGCTTGCTCAGGGGATCTCTTTGTCGATCAGTCTCGACTATAGGTTTCTTATTTGCTTAAATTTGTTGTTGTTGTTATTATTCGTAGATATGTCTATTTTTGAATACAAGTTTAATTTATAAGTTACATGAAAAAGTATAGACGTCATTCCCAATTAAAGGAAAAACTTCACACCTATTAATTTGACCATTAGTGTATATGTATGTGGTATCGCTAACACATATAAATCCACTTATATATTCTTTAAGATCAAAGCGCTGAACGTATCGGTACTAGCCGCTTGATGGGTCCGACCGCATGAAAATATAACTTTTGGTTTTATGCATTAAATTGAATTGTACAAATTATATTGATCACTCTACATAATGTCATAATGTACGCTAAAATTATTTCAATTAATTTCCTAATCTCTTTGCATACCCTCTCTGAGTATTGAGCAGCAGAAGGGTATATCCTGCATCGTTTTTTACTGTTGTTGAAATATAAACAAGTAAGAAAGCTCAATGTAAGACTGTTCGACTACGAAATCCTCTGATCTTTTCGAGCAACTGATATTTCAATAATTCTTCACGTCATTTTGCTTGCACAAGAAACTAAATAACCTAAATTTTAACAAAAATCGAAATTCTATAAAGTCGATATGAATGGATTTCAAATTTGGTGACTCTGGCTTAAAAGATGTAGAATGTATAATTTATTTTAGATAATATTTTTATCGAGTAATCGATTTCTTGAGAAAAACTCGATAACCACGTTATATACATATATTTAAAACAAATTTAAAGTCTCTCTCT